CTCTTGAAAGAATCCCAAGAGCTGAGTGCATAAAGAGATTGATGGTATGAAAGATCTCTAAAGAGCTGAGAGTACTGAAGATAAGCCAGACCTCTCACAGGAAATGAAAAACTAGTCAGATTTAAAAAAAATCTTGAGGACAGCCTCACCAGTGCAACAGTTCAAGGGGAGGACAGAATACCCAAGCTTAAAGACAAGGTAGAAAGACTGGAACATTCCAACATGTCAAAGACATTAATTAAAGAATGTGGGCTGGGCTTTTAAGGTATTTAGGACACAGTGAAAAGATCAAATCTAAGAATCATGGGTATAAAAAATGTGAAGAATCCCTTTCCAAAGGCAAAAACAACAACAACAACAAAAAACCCAAACATTTTCAACCCAATCATAGCAGAAAAATTCCCCAACGTGAGCAAAGGGATGCCTCTGCAGACACAGACCAAGTACTTACAAGGCACTTAGAGGACCAAGAAGACAATGCCAGAAAAGAGTTTCTCGTCATAGTGCAATTAAAATTTTAGAACAAAGATAATATATTAATGGGAATTTAAGAAAACAAACTATATTGGAAGTAGCAAGAGAGAAGCACTCATGTGTGAACACAGGGCCTTCAGAACCAATGTCTGAACAAAGACTTGAAAGGCGGATGCTGAGACTCATAGACAAACTTTGGGCAGAGTGCAGGAAATCATATGAAAGAAGGGGGAGATAGAAAGACCTGAAGGGGACAGGAGCTCCACAAGGAGAGCAACAGTACCTAAAAATCTGGGTCCAGGGGTCTTTTCTGAGACTGATACTCCAACTAAGGACCATGCATGGAGATAACCTAGAACCCCTGCACAGATGTAGCCCATGGCAATTTAGTGTCCAAGTGGGTTAATAGTAAGTAATGGGAACAGGGACTATCTCTGACATGAACTCAGTGGCTGGCTCTTTGATCACCTCCCCCTGAGTGGGGAGCAGCCTTACCAGGCCACAGAGGAAGACAATGCAGCCAGTCCTGATGAGACCTGATAGGCTAGAGTCAGATGGAAGGGGAGGAGGACCTCCCCTATCAGTGGACTAGGGGAGGGGCATGGGAGGAGATAAGGGAAAGAGGGTGGGGTTGGGAGGGAAGGAGGATGGGGGCTACAGCTGGGATACAAAGTGGATAAACTGTAATTAATATAAAAAATTGAAATAAAAAAAAGGCAGTACTCAGTTGATGTCTTTCAAGTTTTTAAGAAAACAACTGCCCACCTTGATGATCATACCAGCAACGTTACAGTCACAGTTGAGAGGGACAGGAAAGTTTCCATGACAAGAACAGGCTGAAGGAATTCAGTAAACTAGCTCTGCAGAAGATACCTGAAGGAATTCTTTGGACTAAATAGAAAGACAGTCACACCTACTAGGCCTTTGTAAACCACTTTGGAAGACTAGTTAAACAAGAGATGAATATTAACACCCAGTTATACAAAATCAACAAGATATCAGGTCATAAATATAAATCACTGAACAATCACTCTACATATTAATGGTCTCAGCCCGGTGGTGATGCATGCCTTTAATCCCAGCACTTCGGATGCGGAGACAGGAGAATCTCTTGAGTTCGAGGCCAGCCTACTCTACAGAGTGAGTTGCAGAACATCCAGGGCTTCAGAGAAAACTTGTCTTGGAAAAAAAAATTCCCCCACTGAAAAGACACAGATTAATAGATTGTATTAAAATGCAGGCCTCATCTTGTGTGTGTGTTCAAGAACCCTACTTCATTATAAAAGACAGATAAAGCAAATGCTACTTAGGGGGACAGGGTACAAAATGTATTTCAGGCAAATGAAAGCAGGAGTCAAACAGGAGTCACTGTTTTAACATATGACAAAATAGACTTTAAGCCAAACTTAGTTAAAAGAGATAAACGACACTTCTCACTGATTAAGTGAACAATCCACCAAGAAGGTATTATAAACATATACATCTCAAATGTGGGTGCCTCTGATTTCATAAAACAGATACTAATAATGATAAAGTCAGGAGCGTAATAGTGGGGATTGTGATAGCTAATTTTAACCAACTGAGAGACTGTCCAGGCAAAAAAAAAAAAAAAAAAAAAAAAAGAAAGTAAAACAGATCATATGAATCAAACAAGATCATATATCAGATGGATTTAACAGACATCTGTCTAACATTCTACCCGACCACTGTAGAGTACACATTTTTCTCAGTAGCCCACAGAACTTGATCTAAAATAGGTATTAGGAAAGAAAGTATGTCTCAAGAAATGGAGGGAAACTGAAAGCTTTTTCCTATATTCTGTCAGACCACAACTGCAAATCAACAGCCAAAGGAACTATAGAATACTCACATACTTATGGAGACTGAACAATGGATTGGTCAATGAAGAGATCAAAAAGGCTATCTAGAAATAAAAGAAAAAAAAACACAATAACAAAAACTTAATGACAAATCTGAGGGACTTGAAAAAACAAAACAAAACAAAACAAAAAAACCAAAAAACCCAAACCCAGAAAGGCTGAACTCAAAATCAGGTTGAAAGAAATGATTAAATTAGGGCAGAAATTAATGAAATGGAAATGAAAAATTGCAAAGAACCAATGAAACAAGGTTGTTTGATCAGTTAAGATTAACTAAATTTGCAAAAGAATGAAAAGGCCCAGATTAATAAAACTAGAGATGAAAAGAGAGCCATTATAATAGATACAAATGGAAGTACTAGGAGATATCTTTAAAAAATATATTCTGGATGGATATTTAGATATTTATGATGTACAAAAATTAATCCAAGATAAACAATTGTACAACAATTAATAGAGTTATGCAGTAACAAAAATGCCTGGATTAAAATCTTGGCAAATTGAGCCTTCCCCTGTACAAATACATCACATAGACATCAGAACTCAGGAAATACTTGATGGAAATAATTTCTTTTGTGCAAATTTAAGCACTAAATAAAGGAGTAAAAGAAAGCACCAAGCTGAAGCTTCTGGAATAAAGCCTGGATCAGGTCTCTGGACACAAAAACACACTAGGACAAATATATAAAAATCAGTTGAAGCTAAGCATGGTGGTGCCTGCCTTTAATCCCAGTACTTGAGAGGCAGAGGCAGGCATATCTCTGTGAGTTCAAGCCTAGCCTAGTCTACAGAGTGAGTTCTAGGACAGCCAACACAGAGAAACACTATCTCAAAACACACACACACACACACCCCACCAACAAAATATGATGTACAGTTTACAAATGATTCAGACAATCTTTGTACTATTTTTTAAAGAATCTATTTACTACTAGACTACCAGCTCTTCAAAGAACTAACCTGTCATCTCAAAACTTTTCCAAAAAGTAATAAGACAGAACAGTACAAAACTCATCTTACGAAGCCACAATTATCCTAAGAGCCAAACTGCATAAAGACACAACAAAAAAGAAAATTATAGATCAATCTCCTTAAATAAATATAAATCTAAAAATCTTCAGAAAATATTTGCAAAAACATCCCTTGGTTTATAATTCATGTTACAGAAAGAACACTTAGCCAGATTGTTTTGATTTGCATGTCACTGGACTCTGAGGTCTGCCACCTGCTGCTTGGTACAAGGAAAAGAGTTTACACACAGATGGGGCCAGAGTTTGGCGCACACACACACACACACACACACACACACACACACACACACACAAAGCTTCACTCTGCCTTGCCTGTATTACAACACACAGAGTGGGGAACAGCCAGGAAACACACTCAGGTAGATATACAGACTAACCCATACTGTGAAGAGAAGGATTCTTTGGTGGGAATGAGTCCATTATACTTGAGTCTTGGTGTTTCTGGAAAGTTCCAAAAAATGTCCTAGAGGGGATAAAGGAGAAACTTGTCCTATATTCTGTGAAATTTAACATTACTTTTATTAGAGCCCGCAAATTCAACTTTTTTTTTCCAGTACACTTTTTTATTTTTTTATTATTATTATCATTTATTACAATTTATTCAACTTGTATCCTGGCTGTGGCCCCCTCCCTTGTCTCCTTCCAAACCTGCCCTCTCTCTCTCTTCTCCCCCTATGCCCCTCCCCTAGTCCACTGATAGGGGAGGACCTCCTCCCCTTCTAATCGACCCTGGCCTATCAGGTCTCATCAAGACTGGTTCCATTGTCCTCCTCTGTGGCCTGGCAAGGCTGCACCCCGCCCCAGGGGGAGGTGATCAGAGAGCCAGCCACTGAGTTCACGCCAGAGACAGTCCCTGTTCTTCTTACTAGACCCCATTTGGAGTCTGAGTCTATGGGCTACATCTGAGCAGGGGTTTTAGGTTCTCTCCATGCATTGTCTTTGGTTGGGGTATCATTCTCTTCAGGGCCCCCAGGGCTCAGTTTTTATGGCTCTGTTGGTCTCCCTTTGGAGCCCCGGTCCCCTCCAGGTCTTTGTCTCTCCCCCCTTTTTTCAAGATTCCCTGAACTCTGTACAAAGTCTGGGTATGAGTCTCAGCCTCGGCTTCGGTATCTCAATCAGTAGTCTTTCAGAGGCCGGCTGTGGTAGGCTCCCGTCCTGTACATCACATGGCCACACGGTGGCAACATGGCAGCATATTTTCAGGCCCATGACTGTAATTTTGTTGGGGTTTTGCCTGTAAGCTGCTGATTGATTTAACTTTCCTTATCTTTTCTTTACCCTTTAGTTCTGAAATTATAATAAATTTAGAGTATATTAGAATTTTTGTCAGTTTTATGTTAGGAGAGTTGTGATGTCACTAAAGGAACATTAACAATTACATGGAACTGTCCTATATGCAGTCAATAACTCTCAAAGCCTTTAATGGCTGAGCCTTCTCTCCAGCCCTATTTTTTAAAGTAAATATATAATTTGACTTGATTGAAAGGATTTCTTCAAATCATATTGATTAGTATTTTATGTTTGATTAATCTCCATTATTTACTATATTTGCTGAAATACAAGTTCAGTGAACACTTAAATCAGGTAACTTTTTGCCAAGGAAAAAGACCATTACTGGATGGTTAAAAAAAATCTTTAATATACATGCAACAATTATAGTACATCAAGGCAACAAAATACACATGGAAGGATAGACAGAAGCCAGCATTCTTTGTGGGATTCTGAAAAATAAACACTACCACTGAAAATGAAAGACCGAGACATACACTATTTACTCATGCAAACGTTTACAAACTGTGTCAAGTTTTAAATGAACTGTAGACACCTGGATTTCATAGTGGCAGGTGAATTTTATGTCAAGAGCTCCAAGTATGGAGGGAAAGCCATGATTCTCCGGTGTCATTTCTCAGTCTGCGGTTTTCAGCAGGGATACGTGCACGAACTAGTGTTTCTGTCAGACAAATTTGAAAAAGTGTACCAATAAGGGAATCCTGTATTCCCCTCTACTTTATAAAAATGTATGAAAAGATCCTAATAAGGTTTTAATAGATGAAAGAATCATATATGTCAGGCGAGAGCAGGTCAGGATGATAAAGCATTAAACAGTTTGATAGTTCTTAGGAAGGTAGAGGCTCCCATGATCAGTGTAAAAATTCCTGAAGTTCTCCTGATCCTATTTCCTCATGGATCCTCCTGCAGGCCCCACTCTCTTCATTTGCCATCCCTCACACTAAATAAAAGTGGCTTTGGGCACTGTATTCTAAATACGGTGTACATAATTCAGGGAGGTTGGAGGTGCTATTTCTCAAGAATGTACGCATTTGTACAAGTATTAAAGCCTTCATCTTTAATACTTCAGCTACAGGGAAAAGTTCTCAGTATGTTGCAACCCATTCAGTGCTACATCCACCACAAACCCCCAGGCCCCCTTCATCCCTGAACTGACTCTCTGCATTGCCTCGCATGTAAGACTGGTCACACTATTAGTGATTATATTCTGCATCATGAGGCTAAGCTCCAAGCATTTCTGAGAACCTTCCACCCCTACTTTGGACACAAGGAATGAACGAGTGAGTTCAGCGCCCCTCGGGCAGCTGTTTTAGGAGGAATACACTTCCTACATGTCACAGCTTCTAGGTTTAAACATAAAAATTTAAAAGCAAAACTACCGCATGAAGTCCCCAGTAAGTATTGTGACCTCTTCATGTAAACAACATATAAAACTTCTTTGGCACACCTGTTTTCCTCAGATCACTCACTATCGAAAACATACATCCTACATTTTCATATTCAATATGGTGGAATTTTTAGGGACACGTGTAGCTGTTTCAAATGATGCAAAAAGCTTTGAGACATGGCTATTTAAAGAAAACCAGCTTTCCTGTGGAAGTACAGGGTTTTTTAAACACTAAGATCAGTTTGTTAAATGAGGTCACGGCGTAATGGGAATGTCTGGGAGACATCCAGATATAATTCATTGTTGCACACACAGAAAAAAAATAGCACTGTAGCTCAGGCATATATTCACACTCAGATATGCTGGTTACTCAGGAGTTCTTCATGTAAGAGCTTCTCGAATCCTTAATTAAACTTGAAACTTCTGGTGTAAGTAACACATTTCCAACACTTGCTCTCTATTTTGAACTGTTTCCAACTTCTCAGGCACACTTGATCAACATTTTAAAACTGATAATTTTAAAAGAAAATTTTGGGAAAATAAGTCTAAGAAATGTGTTCATGTTCTTAGATATAAAATGCTTTTTCTGCATACTCTACAAATTAAGTCAGCAACTGCCTAAAAAGGCACATTTCTACAAAATTTATTATGAAATGCTAAAAGTTGGTAGCAAATGATAAACAACAGAAGGAGAACTAAAATAGCCACTGTGCTTGCTGCTGCAGCTGAGAGCCTTCCCCCTTACGAGCATGTGACATCAGAGCTCAGAAAGTTCTTAATGAAATTATTTAGTTGTCTTTTGTGCAAATGTAACCACCAAATAAAGGAATTAAAAAAAAATCACTAAGCTTAAGTCTCTGGAATAAAACCTGGACCCAGTCTCTGGACACCAAGACACATTTAAACAAATATATAAAAATCAGTTGAATAACAACTATGTACAGTTTATAATGGATTCAGACAATCTTTGTGAGATATTTTTTTTCAAAGCCTATTCAATTTTAAACATCCTCAAAGACAAATGTAAGATTTTAGAAAAGAAAAATAGCAGGACTACTATGCTTTTCCCCCAGAACTTTACATGGCCTGGACCGAAATCTCCAAACAACAAAAACGCCACGTATGTACCCGAATATAAAATTTCAAAGATCTCTCCAGCAGCCAAACTTATGTAAACAGAATATTTACAATACAGAAACTTTGGGTTTTCATTTGTCTTTCAGGATGGAGTCAGGCCTGGACTTGTCATGTCCGTGGTGGGGCTTGCAAGGCAGTCATTGGACTTTAGGCTTGTTAGGGACTTGTAACTTGCCACCGATGTCAGTGACCCACAAAGACCAAGCAGTGAGGGGGTGTCTTCTTTACCTAGAAAGGAAGATAAAACCACACAAAATGAATCACGGCAAGACCGTCAAAACCATGAGAAACTCCCACAGCTTCTAAGGTACAGAAAACGTATCCGTAAAGCTAAACACATTTCTCCTTTAAGCAGTGTTTAATATCACCTTTAAAAGCAGTAGAGTATTTGTGCTTCTCTTAAGACAAGTATTCTCTTAAGTATTTGTGCTTACTGGTGTAGAAGCTTGAGGTAATGCATTTTAGAGCCAAAATGGAAAGTTTACCTTTTATTTGCTTCTTATTTATTGAGGTAGGTCTTTTTATGTCACCCTGGGTGTCCTGGAGCTCACAATATAGACTGGCCTCAACCTCAGAGACCCTCCTACCTCTACCTCCTAAGCGCACCACCATGCCTGTACCCTTTGTTTTTGAGAATATATTCATGCTTAGTCATCCAGTAAGGAGAGAAGAACACTCAACTAAACCACAGTAACTGGCCAAGCCAGAGAGGACATGGCACTTACAGTAGGAAGTACAGTAGAGGCACACTTATCCGGATCACCTGCCCGGTCTGCTGGGCACCGGGATCTGAGTTTTTATCGGAGCTTTGTTTCGTGTTTTTCTTTCAGGTGTGTGCTGCCATAGAATGTGTGAAAAGACAACTTTCAGGAGTTGGTTTTCACCTTCCACTAAACATCCCCAGTGAGGAGCTGAACACAAAATAGCTCTAAAATTAAACATTCATGACTAGCCTAGGCAAGTGACATGGTAAGTTCTCAGCAGCCTGGGCTTTTTGAGATCGTGGCTTTAAAAAAATAAAATAAAAGAGTCTGAGAATACTATGAGCAACTAAAGTCACTTTTATTCTTTTTTACAGGTAGACACGGAAAAAGGGTAATTTTAAAAGTATGCTTAATATCTAAAAGAAGCAAGAAAATGTGAAAAAAAGGAAAGTGAAAAAAATAATTCGTTTAATAATATAATCCAAAAGAATGGCATACTTAGAAACAAATAATGAAATAATTATATATTTAAAAGTTCCTACCATGTGTAGTCTATTCTAGAGAGACGATATAGACAAAGGCTCTCAGGCTTAATGAGAGAAACCCCCTAACAGTGAATGGGAGTAATATGGAGTTCTGCAATGGTACAAGATGCTGAGAATAAAAAGAAGAGCTCAGCCCTGATTAAGACATTAATCCCAGCTCTTAAAGGCTCACGTAGCATTTACAGATGGGGAGCAGATGTAAGAACCAGAAGGAGGAGAGAAGGCCTGGGAAATGCCAGCTCCTAAGCATACCATTTTCGAAGCAATCATGAACTCTGAGCAGACATGTCTGCTGGCACTAGGTCCACACAGTCACAGTGAAGAAGGAGCTCACAGTGCCCTACCACTCACCGCTCATCTATTGGCAACTAGTGGATTCTGGGAGCTGAGGGGATACGGGTAGGGGTGGGCATAGCATCCAGTTGTATAGCCCCTGGTGAGGATTCTAACACAGGGTCTAAACACAGGGTCACACAGAAAGCCCCAGTTAAACTCCGTGAATATGGAGGAATACTTGTAAGGAAGAGGGAGGGCTCTTGCTTGCGGGTATGGAAGGGAAATGAGAGGCTGAAGGGGTAGCCGGAATGCATTAAAACATGGAGAAAATGTCAACGAACATAATCTATTAGTTAACAATAAAATTTAATTGCACTTAATGTTTATTTATTTGCATATATGCACGTGTGTGGGACATGTCTGTAACCCCAGACTCCAGAGCTAGAGCAAAGAAGAGTACAAGTTTAAAGCCAGTGTGGGCTACAAAAGAACACTTTGTTACAAATACCAAAGCCATTACCCTACTGTCTTAGTTAGGGTTTCTATTGTTGTGATGAAACACCATGATCAAAAGCAAGTTGGGGAGGAAAGGGTTTATTTGGTTTATACTTCTACATCACAGTTCATCACTGAAGGAAACCAGGACAGACACTCAAACAGGGCAGGAACCTAGAGGCAGGAGTTAATGCAGAGGCCATGGAGGGGTGCTGCTTACTGGCTTGCTTAGCTTGCTTTCTTATAGAACTCAGGACCACCAGTCCAGGGATGGCACCACCCACAATGGGCGGGGCCCTCCCCAATCAGTCACTAATTAATAAAATGACCCACAGACTTGCCCACTGTAACTTTTCCCCCTTTTTTCATTAATTTATTTATTTAATCACTTTACAGCCTGATCTAAGGCCCTTCCCTCCTCTCCCAGTCCCAGCTTACCCCCTCTTCCAAACCCCTCCCCTTCTACTCAGAGAAGGGGAGGCCCCCCCCATGGGTACCAACCCACCCTGACACAACTTAACTGCAGTTCTCTCCTCTCCAGTGTCTTTAGCTTGTGTCAAGTTGACATAAAACCAGCCAGCACGCTTACCTTCACTGATGAAATTCAAAGACTCTTGTTTCCCATCTCCTTCCTGTGAGTGGCTGGGGTCCAGCGAGGCCTGAGAAAGGCTGACTTCTGCTGATAACTGGTCGAGGCTTTGGTAACTTTTACTGAAAATACGGATAAAGAAATTAATAAAATTTCATCTCACAAAAGAGATCATCTTTTGACAGTCAGTCCTCAATGGTTTGTAATGCATTCAAGTTGTGAGTAATTTTCTCACATCTTCCCTACATTTTGCCTTTATCATGATTTCTGTGTGATTTCCATTATATTTTTTCCCTACCTACTTTGAAATCTTATCTATTTTGTTCATTGAAAAACAGAAAAGAAGCCCACATGGTGGCACGCCTGTAATCCCAGCACTCAAGAAGGCAGAGGCAGGCAGATCTCTTTGCGTTTGAGGCCAGCCTGGTCTACAAAGCAAGAAACCCTGCCTCAAAAAACCGAAAACCAAAAACCAAAACCAAACAAACAAAAAATAAAAAAAAAACAAAACAAAAAACAAAACCCACTAAAGAATATTAATTTTGAAGCAAATTAACACTATCAAATTAATTATCTATTATCTAGACAATTAAAATACAAACTTCTAATTGGGCTATTATAATTTTAAAATAGGAACAGAAAACCTAAACAATGTTACCAATAAAGAAACAATTGGCATAATTTAACAATGACCTATCATTTCCGGCACTTTAGGAGTTATTCAGTGCCTTAAAATCCTCACTGACAGCTGCTATGCAACAAAACAGTTATCATACATTCCTGTAATTTAAGCTAAATATCTACTGTATTAATATATGATCAAGATAATTAACCCTCTTCCCTCATTCAATTGGTGTTTTAAGGCCCTTTGTATTACGCTAGTTCCTTAGAGATGAATTATATCAGAGGATTTTTCAGTTAGAAATGAAAAGTCGCCAAAAGCTTATTATTAACCTTTCCTCAAATTTAGTTTTTAGAAGGCCAACAAAAAGATATATTGAGGTTTGGTGTCCTTTGCAGTTCGTGTGAAAATTAGAATTGATCATCATTTATGAACGAAGGTGGACTAAGAAAAATAGGTTTTCAAGCTGAAAGTCATAGGTAGTCAGATCCCACATAAAATCCACAAACACATATTTTATTATAATATTTATAGGAAAGCACATATGAATTAAATGATGTCTTCTGTAGTTGCCTGCATGTATGTAACATGGGTTGACCCTGGTCACAGATCTGACAAAGGTACATATATTAAGAATGTTTCAAAATGCTGGGTATAGTGGTACATTGCCCTTAATCAGCACTTGGGAGGCAGAAGTAAGTGGATTTCTGTGAGTTCAAGGCAGCTTGGTCTACGCAGCAGGTCCACCTACAGCTATACAGAGAGACCCTCTCAAGGAAAAAGTTTTGAATACTTATGTGCAGATATTGTGCTAGCCAGGACTCAACTAAAATGAGAAGGAAATGGAAAAGTATTTCTTTACTAAAAGTAGATTGTATATTAATAATAACAATTTGAATGAAGATTACATTAATAATAACAACAAAACAATAATAACAACAAAACAATAATAACAACAAAAGCATAGACTGTTAAGTTTACTAAAAGAGTAATTACTTTAAATTGGTTGGTATTTATTTCCCATCAATCTTATTAGGATAAAATTTTATAGGCTGCCATAGTGATGGAATACATTTATCAGGAATCCATTTCCTCTCTCTCAGAAATGAATGAGATGGCAGAATGACTTTACTAACTTACAAGGCAAACAGTACTCTCAATTTATGATATGATGACTTCTTAAATGTTTGTGTGTAAAAGTCCTTAATTACTATTTTAAATCAGGAAATCACTGGTATAGTGGATAATGCTTTTATAAGCTACATGCTCTACAATAAAATGAAATCCAATATTTATAAAGCACTTGGTACATGCTAAAACACAGTGCTATACATTTAAATTATAAACAAACATGCTACATATATGCACATAATGCTACATACATAAGCATATATGATGCACATAAAAATTTATTCAATACTGAAAGTATCTTAGGAAGTTAAACTATTACTACCTCTATTTTGTTGAAACAGGCTCACACAGAAAGTAAACAGTTTGGCCTTGGACCAAGCTATTCCCGTAGCTATTGTCAGCTCCACTCTAACATCAGAAGGAAAGATCTGTCTTCCTATTTTATTAGATCTTCTCAAAGAGCAGTTTCATTTGCTAAGACAGATCCTGAGAACTGTGTTTAACTATCATTCTGTCCCTGCAGATTTCACTTGGTTTTCATTAAAATTGTATTTCCTTAGCTATAGAGGACGGTGAAAACATGGGATCTTGTGTGTGTGTGTGCACCTGAGCACATATGGGCACAGAGCAGGCGTTTATTGATATTTCTCTTATATTTATGGTTGTGAACCTCGTCTTTAATGGCTGAGCCATCTCTCCACCCCTGGCATTTCTCTATAAGCCTCTCTACATTACTTGAGACTAGGTATCTCCTTGAAATGGGGGCTTGCTATTTCAGAAGAGGTGATGCTTGAAACCTGCCCCACCCTGTGCCTGAGAGTACAGATATGAGCAGCTTTGTCCAGTTTTCAACATGGGTGCTGAGGATTCAAACTCAGGCCTCCATGCTCCATCAAGCACGTTAACCCACTAAGCCATTTTCCCATCTTTAGAACACAAGACTCTACTGAGTAATTGTAGACATTTCTTCACAAATTATTTCCTATGTTCAACTTGTAGAATTCTTGCTTTTAAACTGGTGGCTTAAGATGACCTTCTCACACTTTTTTTGTTATAAGGAATGTGCTGATATTTTTAGGCTGAAAATTATATGAAGAAACACTGAAAAATAAAATACTCATAGGCAAAAGATAGGAATTTATTGAATACTGTAATCATTGAGCGTGGCAGCTCATATTTCTCTTTTTTTAATTTAATTTTTATTTCATGTGCATTGGTATAAGGGTGTCAGATCCTTTGGAACTGGAGTTAGAGTCAGTTGTGAGCTGCCATGTGGGTGCTGGGAACTGAACCCGGGTCCTTTGGAAGAGCAGACAGTGCTCTTAACCACTGATCCATCTCTCCAGTCCTCTTTTTTTTTAATTCTTTTTTTTAGATTTATGTATTTATTTATTATTTATAGTTATGCTGCCTGCATATGTGCCTGCATGCCAGAAAAGGGCACCAGATCTCATTATAGATGGTTATGAGCCACCATGTGGTTGCTGGGGCTGTTGAACTGAGGACTTTTGGAAAAACAGTCAGTGGTCTTAACCTCTGAGCCATCTCTGGCAGCACGTATTTACAATAATCTTCAAGCCTGCAGCTTACTAGAGGGAGGAAACTTTGAAAGAGGTCCTGAAAATAGCAATGCCAGATGAGTTTTCCACATAGCTGAAGTTGAGAGGGACACTTGCAAATCCAAACTGATGTTGAACCTTTTTAAGTTTTCAGTTAGTAATAATCCTTAAGTTTATAGTTGCTACTTAGTCAAATGAAATGAGTTTCTTAAAATGAAACAACCTGGAAGTAGAGATGCTTTAAAACAACAACTAATACTTCAGAGTGAAATTAAATCTTTATTCATAAGACATTAGTAGCAGTACCTCACTTTACAAAACTCTACCTCTCTTACTGAAGATGAGAACAAACCCACAAGCAGGAAGGAGACTTCAGCTTCAGATGACAAAGAATGGGGGTTAGATTATGTAATCTTACCTGATTTCTAGTAAGACTCATTCTCATAAACATTTGTAGGTTTGCAGTAAACTACATATGGGAACTCTGTCTTTAAAAGGTCATAGTTAAGCTCTGAGAATCCTAGACTCATTAATGAGATTTAAATGCATCCAGAGACACATAAACTAATACATATTGCTGCTTCTCAGAACAGAATTTTTAAAAGGTAAGTAGTTTATGTTCACAAAAATGAGAAACCAAAACAGCGAGAAGCATATATTCTGACAACACAAAAACTTGTAGTTTAATACACATCACTATGTTAAATATAATTTAAACTTGTAAGAATGGTATTGTATGTTGTGGATAGTCTCATCTCAATGATTAGAATAATATTGTTTTTAATATTACACATTTGTTCAAAAGATGTTCAAAAGTCAGTAATTCCTATTATCTGGCAGTCACTGCACATCACTGTATGACGCACAAGTATTGTCCACGGGGGTGGGCCGGGAGTCATGTGCATGATCCCGACAATCCACACACCCAGAGAGGCTGAGTAACAAGGAGCCTCAAGTGGGACCATGAATCTCCCTGGAAGGGGAAATGGAGTAGATTTTGCAGGTGGCCTGGGGCCAGGTGGGGATGGGAACAGGAGGCATGGAGTGGGGAAAGGAGGGACGGAGAGAGTATGGAAAGAGACGACTGCAGGATCTGCAGGGCATTTGGGAGGTGATGTGGAAACTTCCTGGAACTTAGTGAGGGTGATCCTAGCTAGGACTCCTAGTAACAGCAGATACAGAGCCTGAACCAGCTGTCTTCTGTAACCAGGCAGGGTTTCCAGTGGTGGGGCTGGAACATCAGCCAAGCCACAAAAACCTTTGACCTACAACCTGCTCTGCCTGCAAGATGTGCTAGGGCAATGGTAGTTTGGAACTTATGGGCATGGCCAACCAATGACTGGTCTAACTTGAGGCCCAAGCCACAAGGGGAAGCCCATGCTTGGATAGCCAAGGACTGAAAGCTTGATATCCCAGAGACTTAAAGGTAAAACCAAACACGATAGGAACAAAAACCAAACTAACAACAACAAAACAAAGTCAATGAAATGATGCCTAATGATCTTCTGCTATACTCATAGACTGGTGCCTGGCCCACTTGTCATCAGAGAGACTTCCTCCTGCAGCTGAAGGGAGCCAATGCCATACATTTGGTGGAGCTTGAGGAACCCTGTGGAAGAGGGGGAGGGAGGATTGTAGGAGTCAGAGGGGTGAAAGACACCAGGAGAAATGGCCCATAGAATCAGCTAAGCAGGACTCATGGGGGCTCACAGAGACTGAAGTGGGAAGCACAGAGCCTGGATGGCTCTCCAGTAGGTCCTCTGCATATACAGTGTGGCTGTTTAGCCTAGGGTGTTCATGGGACTCCTAA